TTTATCAGAGGTTAGGTCCTCAGACATGGCTGCAAATGCCCTTGCCCACTTTTAATAAAGAACAAAACAGGAAATGGGTCCCCACGACACGCAGGGTCTCTCCTAGCCAGGTCTCAATTATGCAGCTGAGGACGGCTGTGGCTACCATCCTCAGCGCCTGCACCACTGTGTCTGGATTCGTAACTAGATTTTCCAACCTGTTTTCTTCTGTAGTGAAAGTAATTCACAGCAGGGTATGGCGGTATGTACCTGTTATCTCAGCACCCAGGAGTCTGAGGCAAGAAGATCAGCAGTTTGAGGCCAACCTGGACTACAAAGCAAGACTGTCTCTTTAAATAAATGGAAATTCACAATTTTTATCTCTGCCTTTGTCCCTTATATCCCCCGTTGACCTTTGCTCTTCCTCAATGTGTAACTTGTTAAACACATACACAAAACGTATAGTGCTAATAATGATTTTAAAAATTCAATCATCGGCTTTTAATCATGGTGGCTCATGCCTTTAATCCTAGCACTTTGCAAGCAGAGGCAGATAGATCTCTGTGAGTTCCAGGCCAGCCAGGGCTATATATTGAGACCTGGACCCAAAACAAGCAAGCAAGCAAACAAACAAACAAACAAACAAATAATTAAATTCAATTATCATATTTTAACACCCCTTGATGTTTTTTTTTTTTTTTTTTAAAATAAGACTGAGCACAGAAAATAAAAACCTACAAATGTTTGAAGTGACTATAAAAATCATGAAAAACATAGGAAGCATTTATACCTATAGAGGAAGATTGTGGACTAATCAGAAGGTCCTCTTGAACTGGTTCACTTCCTGGCACTGTCTGCTGATCACTCAGTGAGCTCTGAGATGCACTGACAGGCTGGGACACTTCCTCATGGACCTCCTCATCACTTAATCTTTCTACTTTGACTTGCACATCTTCTTCTGTACCTAGAGGCAAAGTAGTTTTTGTGCTCTCACAAGTCACATAGTCAGCCATTCTTCTACCTGCCTCAGATGGGCCAGGCAATTCTAAAGTCCGGGTGTTTTCTGCCTGTTTCGCTTTCTCAGGCGGAATCCTTCGATCAATTCCAAAAGGGAAAGTCCATGGAAAAGCTAAAGAAGAGTCAACTGGCTGATTTCTATTTTCTGCATAGGAAGCTGAAGAATTCAATACCTGGGGTGAACTTGTTTGTGTGCTACATTTTACAGGACTCTCAGGGGACATAACAATGTAGCTTTTGCGTTTTCTCCGGGATTCTCGGCAGACAGGAATGGTCCTTTCCACAACACTGCACTCTGAAGACACTGGAGAAATACTTCCATCTCGAGAAGTAAAATTGCAGTTAGAACTATTTTCTTGTCCAGCATCTAGACCCTTTTCTGGCTGGCTATTAGGTGTATTCCACAAAATACTTGATTTCATAAACTCGGAGCAGGTACTAGCAACACTAAACATCTGCATGTAGCTTGCTGCAGCGAGAACATCAATAATATTTTCTGTGTTAATTGACAGAGTGGCTGTGTAAGCGTATTCTAATAGAGGTATAAAGCCAGTCACTGTAACATGATGCAGATCCAACACATTTTTGTTCTCATCCTCTGCTTGGCCAACAAGTTTTGTTCGAAAGAAATCACTGCAAGCTGCTAGTACTACCTTATGAGCCCGGAAGATTTTGTCCTGGACACGAATAGTGATATCACAAAAATGTCCATCATTTCGTAACATATTTAGTTTTCCCAGCATTTCCTGGCTATGGGAAGAAGAACTGTGAGTAAATGTTTTCACACCCATCTTTCTTTTTTTCCTCTTCTACTGATGCTCTTCAAGGATGCAATAAGTCAGAAATGTCCTAAAAAAAAAAAAAATACAGAAACAAAACATCAAATGATAGCTTAACAGCTGAAATGAACTATTTATACCATTTTCATGTAGCCACTATGCCAAATAAAAAGTCTAAAATAAGACTGTGAAATAGAAAAACTTCAGGTATGGAATGTATTACAATGTATTTTCTGGTCTGTTGTGGTGTCCAATTCCTAAAAATCCTAGTAAGGAGACTGCCACAAGGCCAACCTATGCTACACAGTAAGTTTGAGCCCAGCTTGGGCTATGAATGCACAAATAATAAAAATATATTCTCTAAACCATCAACCAGTGGTTTATAAATTGTTAATGAGCAGCATTCTAAAACAATAGTTAAATGACGATTATAGAGTGCTTTTATGTGCTCAAAACTGTTGTAAATATTTAACACATGATAATCTTTTGACTGTCAAAGACACCTTGGTCAGTAGGTATATAATTATCCCTGCTTCTAAATGTGAACGTGCAGTAAATAATGTCAGGTAAGCATTATAAATGATTCTGTCTTGAGACAAGGTTTCTCTGTGTACCCTTGGCTGTCCTGGAACTCACTCTGTAGATCAGGCTATCCTCAAACTCAGAGAGATCCACCTGCCTCTGCCTCTTGAGTACTGAGATTAAAGGCATATGACGCTGCTGCCACCACGCAGCTTTCTGTCAAATGTTTTATTCAGATGAATGTATAGGAGAAAGGGAGAAGGGAAAAAGAAAAGATTACAAGATTTTTTTAAAAGTCTGAATAATCTAATGACAGGAGACAAAACTGTTCCCTACTTGATATCATGATGAAGGATAACATGAAATGAATCTTAAGAAGGTAAGAGAAGGCAAGAGAGATGGCTTAGAGGTTAAGAGTACTGGCTGCTCTTCCAGAGGTCCTGAGTTCAATTCCCAACAACTAAATGATGGCTCTATTCTATAATGAGATCTGGTGCCCTCTTTTGGCATGCAGGCAGAACCCTGGATACATAAGTACATAAATAAAATCTTAAAAAAAAATAAGGCGAGAGAGCTGATACCATAGAAATAATGACCTTGACCAAATTTAAAAGTGTTCCTGCTCCAGGAATACTTATTCTGTTATATGGATTAAAGTGTTGCTCAGTCCTCCAAGGAGAAGAGAGTCAAGTAAGATCGTTAAAGACAACAACAAAATCACATATTTTTTCTAAATATAAGTAACCACAGGCAGACATAGTAATGTATGCCTATAATCCTAGCATTTTGGAGGCAGTACATTAGGAAAATAACCACAAGTTCAAGGTCAACCTGACCTACATGGTTAGTTTCAGGCCAAGCATTCAAACATAGATTCTGTCTCAAAAAACTCAAAACAACAAACAAAAAACAAACGCCCAAACTCCAAACTTAAACAACAAACAAACAAACAACAACAACAACAAAAAAACAAAAACGCCCAAGTACTCACAAAGACATAACAATGGATTTGACAAATTTTCTCTTATACAAACAGGAAGTTGCATACCTGTGTTGTTTACTGGCTGTATGTCAGTAAACACACAAGAGTGATTACTTTGATTCCCATCATGTGGCTGAGAGCAGAAGCATGCCTTTGAGCAAATGACACTCATGAACTAGGGACCATCTATATGAGCATGGGTATTAAAAGACAAGAAATTGTCGGGCGGTGGTGGCGGCGGCGGCGGCGGCCGCCGCCGCCTTTAATCCCAGTACTTGGGAGGCGGAGGCAGAGGCAGGTGGATCTCTGTGAGTTTGAGGCCAGTCTGGGCTACAGAGTGAGTTCCAGGAAAGGCGCAAAGCTCCACAGAGAAAGCCTGTCTCGAAAAACCAAAACAAAAACAAAAAACAAAAAAACAAAAACAAACAAAAAAAGAAATTAAGCATCATAGTTGGAAAATGTGTAACAGAATGCTAAAATGAAACCACTTTGAACATGATTTGGGTGAAAGTCCAGACACTGTACCAGCCTTCCAAGAAAGTAGTACAAGGCTACCTGACAAGGAGAGGGAGTGGAAACCTTTTTCAGCCTGATGTTACCTCCATCTTCTGCGATCAAAGAGCTAGAAATTAGAAAAGGAGTTTTGCCAATAATCATTGGGTTCTGAGTTCCAAACCCCATTCAACTCTTTTCTTGTTTCCTGAAAGGAAAAAAATAGTGACTGCCCTCAACCACACAATCCCAATCAAAGTAATCACTCTTAATGGCCCAACTTTAAAAGCAGAGGCCTGTTTTCTCTTTATCTCAGGCCTATTATACTTGGGAAAGCTCTAAAGGACATGAGTCTGATATAAAGAACAGCCAAGATGAAGAAATATGCCATTATTTTCCAACAGTACATTAAAGCCAAGAGTGGAGTGGTTAAAAGCATAGAATGGGACCACAATACTGGATTGTCATCTTGATTATGTCATGTATACAGTGATATGAAGTTTAACCTTTGTACTTAATTTCTGCAGCAGTAAAACAGGGATAACAGAACCTATATCAGATCTGAGGCTAATCAAATACATGGTTCAGACAGTAACAAACAACAGAGAAATCCAGTAGTTGAACAGCAGTAGTCTCTTCCTATCCTAAAAGGACCCAAGACTACAATTAGCCCCCTGGAATCTTCCCGTCTTGTGTCACCAGCTCTGGGATCACAGGTCCATAATACCATACCCAACATTTTATAAGTGTTGGGGAGCTGAACTCGGATCCTCATGCTTACACAAGTCCTGTACCACTGAGTTCTCTCTTCCGCCTGTTCCTATCTTTTGATTATGAATACTGACTAAGGTTATAGATAATCTCACACATGTTGTGTGGGGGTATGGGTTTTTAGTTTTTATAAGTATATACATACCCCTAAACAACATCTGCCTGTAAGACATAACTTACTGCCTTTACCAGAGCTCTCATCCTGGAAAAAGGTAAAAGACTTAACATCTATACTGACTCCTAAAGTATCTTCCACATCCTGCATTCACATGCAGCAATCTAGAAGAGGACTTTTAACTGGGGCTGCCCAAACTCCAGCCAGGCTGCAGTTATCTACTGCATAGGACACCAACACTTAAGCTTTAGAAAGTATCAGAATGGATGGATAAAAAAATAAAAAAAAAAAATCAAAAACATGGAAAGATACTCTTTTACCCTTTCCAGACACTGAGGCCCTGGCTATTCATTACCTCAATCATTCCTGAGTATGGCTAAAAGGAACAGGAGGAGCCAATAGAGGAAGAAGCTAACAAAAAAATGGTTCTGGCTTTCCTTACAAGGAAAAAAAATCCTTGCATCAACAAAGGGAACATCTCTCAGACTACATAATACTTAGGTAGGTGCAAGCCTCTTCACCCTTCACCCTCTCCATATTCCCCTTATCTACTTCTCAAATCAGTAATTAAATGATAAATTTAATTCAGTAAAAACTGCTCTATCTGTAGGCCTGTCAGTCCTCAGGGACATCTGAGGCTAACCTACCTATTCCTTACCCACTCAATTGAGGGGAAACTTGCCTGGATAGGATTGGCAAACAGATTTCACTCATATCTAAAGACAAACGATGTAAGTGGTTTACTCAATGTTATTGACACCTTTTGGGTGATATTTTATTTGTGCTGAAATGTGATTTTATTTGTATGTTAATAAATAAAAGTGCCTGGGGGTCAGAGCTAATAGCAAGCCATTTAGCATAAGTCTGGCAGTGGTAAGACACACCCTTAATCTCCATCACATGACAGGCAGATCTCTGTGTGTTCAAGGATACAGCCATTATGGAGACACACGCCTTTAATCTCAATACCAACCATAGAGACCTGGAAGTCTGTATAGACAGGCAGTGACGAGGAGGTCATGTGGTTGGGTTTACAACCAATGAGAAAGCAGAACAGATAGTCAATAAAAAAAGACTCACAGGAAGTAGGTCTCTTTCTCGGGAAGGACGGCGGCAGTGGGTGATAAGAAGGCGGTCTTGGTCTCAGCTCTTAGCTACTGCTCTCTGACCTCCAGGCTTTTAACTCTGCATTTGGCTCTGTGTTCTGCTTGGGTGTTACTCTAAATACCTCGGTAGTTTGCCCAGTGTTCAGGCTATTGAGAATGCCCTAACTCTAGCCTGGAACAAATATCATCAGGGGGGATTTCTAAGATTAATTACACCTTCAAGAAATGTAACCTTGTATTTAAAATCTGCTGTGTGAGCTGGAGTGATGGCTCAGATATTACAAGCACTGGCTGCTCTTCCAGAGGACCTGGGTTTAGTCCCCATCACCCATACAACAGTTCATAAGAGCAGTTTATAGTAATTCCAGTCCCAGGGGATCTGATGTCGCCCTTTTCTGGCCTTCTGCATGAATTTAGCACGCACAGGTATATGGAGGCAATAGTGCCCATACACACGAAATAACAAAATAATAAAAACTGCTGTGACTATGATGTTTAAAGTTCAAACAACCCTTCATTTTGGCTTTTCTTGTTCCTCTCCTGGGTCAGTGTATGTGAGCCTCTGTATTTCCAGCTGGATGGTAATCATTTCTTTTGCTCACAATGTGACTCTATCTTTACCATCTGGCCTCAACTTCTTTTATGCACTCTAGGAATTCTGCGCCCTTTGTTATCCTAACTTACTCCACTCTGTACTACAAAGCCAACAAAAAGGGCCTAAGAGCATGGACTACACAAAAACACTCTAGTTACAGACTGTTAAATTTCTCTGTCTACAAGACTCATCCTAGCCTAGAGAAATGGCTCAGCAATTAAAAGCACTTTTCATTCTTAGAGAGGACCCAGGTTCAGTTCCCTGAACCCACATTGTATCTGACAACTGTAAGTACAGTTCAATGTCTTCTTCTGGCTTCCTTGGGCATCAGGTAGACATATGGTACACATATATAAAATGCAAGCAAAAACACTTATAGACATAAAATAAAAATAAGTATTTTTTTCAAAAGTGTAAAATTTTAAAAAAAGTCTCATAACAAATCTTTTGGACTGGGTAACTATTAGCATCATCTTCCAGAGTCAAA